GGTCACAGGGGCCAGAGAACCAGGAGAAACAGAGCTCTGAGGCTTTCTGCCTGGTGACTGGGAACTGTCTTTACAGAGCTCCATACAGAAGAAAGCACGGGAGGTGTTAGAGGTCCTCAACTCCACCCCCCTGCAGGGGGCACAGGTGTCCCACAAATCCACAAGGGTGCAGCATGGCCACCTCAAGGTGAGTGTAGGTGCCAAGTTGACCCAACTCCAGAACCCCATGCTGTCAAAGGGGACCCAGGTTTCAGATGCTGCCCTGTTACTCCCCTGAGATTGCTTCTGGAGTCCAATTTTCAAAGGAATCTGGGGCCCCCACTGCTCCCCTCAACCCACTCTCACTGTGAAGACCCTTTTGGACCAGATGCAAAGTAACTGTCCACAAAATAGTAGAAATACCAGAAAAAATACTTTTGTATCATTTCACTTCAAGAATATTTTTGAATATTTCTACAGATTTTTTTATTACTTATTTATTCTGTAAACTTATTCTTTTTAAAAATTTATCTTTATTGTTGACAGTATTACAGATGTTTCCAATATTTCCCATTTGTCTCCCTCTTACCTGCTCCCATCCACCACACCCAGCCTTCACAATGCTATTGCCTGTGTCCACGGGTTATCCATGTATGTATAAGAGTCCTTGATAATGTCTTCCCACCCACCTCCTTCCCTCTAAGATTCCTCATCACTCTATTCCATGCTTCCATGACTCTGGATCTATTTTGTTCATCGGCTTCTTTTGTTCAATATCTTCCACATAGAAGTGAAATCATGTGACACTTGTCTTTCTCTGACTGGCTTATTGTGCTTAGCATAATACCCTCCAGGTCCCTTCATGCTGTCTCAAGGTGTAAGAGATCCTTCCTTTTTATAGCTGCTTAGTATTCCATTTTGTAAATGTACCACTGCTTCTTTATCTACTCATCAGCTGATGGACACTTGGGCTGTTTCTAGATATAAGCTATTGTAAATAGTGCAGCTATGAACATATGGGGTACATACATTTTTTTATTGATGTTTCCTGATTGTTAGGATATATTCCTAGAAGTGGGATCAGTGGGTCAAATGGCAGTTTTACTTTTAATTTTTTTAGGAAACTCCATACTGTTTTTCATAGTGGATACACCTGTCTGCATTCTCACCAGCAGTGCACCTGGGTTCCCTTTTCTCTACATCCTCACCAGCACTTGTCCTTTGTAGATTTGTTGATGGCAGCCATTCTGGCAGGTGTCAGGTGATACCTCATTGTCATTTTAATTTGCATCTCTCTAATGATTAGTGCCTTTGAGCATTTATTAATTTGTCTCTTGGCCATCTCTATGTCCTCTTTGGGGAAGTATCTATTTAGGTCCTTTGCCCATTTTTAATTGGATATTTTGTCTCCTGTTTTTTAGTTGTATGAGTTCTTTATATATTTTGGAAATTGACCCTCTATCAGAGGTGCTATTGGCAAGTATGTTCTCCCACACAGTGGGTTCCCTTTTCATTTTGTTGATAGTTTCTTTTTCTGTGCAGATGCTTTTTATTTTGATGTAGTCCCATTTATTTTTTCCTTTGTTTCTCTTGCTTTGGCGATACATCAATAAAAATTCTGCTATGTGAGATGTCTGAGATTTTGTAGCCTATGGTGTCTTCCAGGATTTTCATGGTTTCACAACTTCCTATTAAGGATTTTATTTATTTTGGGTTTATTCTTATCTATGGTGTCAGTTGGTGGTCTACTTTAATTTTTTTGCATGTTCTTGTACCATTTTCTGAATGCAATTTACTGAAGAGACTTTATTCCATATTATGCTCTTGCCTCTTTTGTCAAATATTAATTGAGCATAATGGCTTCTGTTGACTTCTTGGTCTCTGTTCTGTTCAGTTGATCTATATGCTTGTTCTTGCGCCAGTACCAGGTGGTTTTGATCACAATGGCTTTGCAGTATTACTTGATACCCAGTATTGTGATCCCTCCTACTTTGATTTAATTTTATTTTTTAAGATTACCATGGCTATTCAGGATCTTTTCTGGTTCCATATAAATTTTTGGTGTGTTTGTTCTAAATCTGTGAAATATGTTGGTGGTATTTTATTAGGGATGGTTTTTAATCTATGGATTGCGATGGGTAGTATGAATATTTTAATGATGTTCATATCTTCAGTTTATGAGCATAATATATACTTCCACTTGTTTATATCTGTCTCTATTTCTTTTTTCAATGTCCTGCAGTTTTCTTAGAACAGGTCTTTTACCTCCTTGGTTAAGTCCATTCCTAGGTATTTTAATTTTTTGTTGTTGTTGCAATGGTAAATAAAATTTTTAAATTAAGTTTCTCTTTCTGAGAGTTCATTATAGGTTTATAGATGTGCCATTGATTTCTGGATGTTAATTTTTAATGCTGCTGCTTTGCTGAATTAAAATTTTAAATCTAGTAGCTTTTTGGTGGCATCTATAGGGTTCTCTACATAAAATATTATGCCATTTGCCTAATGACAGTTTCACTTTCTTCTTTCCAATTTGGATGCCTTTTATATTTTCTCTCTCTCTGATTGCTGTGGCTAAAACTTTCTGTGTTGAATAGCAGTGGTGAAACAGGATATCCCTGTCTTGTACCTGTTCTTAATGAAAATTCTTTTTCTTTTTGCCTAGTGAGTGTGATGTTGGCTGTATGTTTTTCATATATGGCCTGTATTATGTTGAGGTTTGATCCTTCTATTCCCACTTTGCTGAGAGTTCTTATGGAACATGGGTGCTGGATTTTGTTGAATGCTTTTTCTGTGTCTATTGATATGATCATATAATTTTTATTTTTCATTTTATTTATGTAATTTATCACATTTATTGAGTTGCGAATATTGTACCAGCCTTGCACTCTTGGGATAAATCTCACTTGACCATGTCATATGATCTTGTTAATATAAAACTGGATCCACTTTGCAAATATTTTGTTGAGGATTTTGGCATCTATGTTTACCAAAAATATTGACTTGTAATTTTCTTTCTTTGTATTCTTTTTATCCGGATTTGGAATTAGGATATTGTTGGCCACATAAAAGCTTGGAAGTCTTTCTTGCTCTTGAACTTTTTGGAAAAGTTTGAGAAGGAGAGGTGTTCATCCTTCTTTGAAAGTTTGGCAATTCTCCCCTGTGAAGCCATCCAGTCCAGGACTTTTGTTTGCTGGGAGTTATTTTATTGCTGCTTCATTTTCATTCATTGGTATTGGTTTATTCAGGATTTCTGATTCTTCCTAATTCAGTTTTGGAAGATTGAATGATTCTTGGAATTTGTCCATTTTGCTAGGTTGTCTAATTTGTTGGCATATAGTAGTTTGTTATATTTTCATACAATCTTTGTATTTCTGTGGTGTCAGTTGTTACTTCACTTCTTTCATTTCTGAGTTTATTTACTTGGGTCCTCGCTTCATTTTTTGGTGAGTGTGGCTAGTGGTTCATCAATCTTGTTTATCTTCTCAAAGAAGCAGCTCTTGGTTTCATTGATCCTTTGTATCATTTTTGTAGTCTCTATGTCATTTATTTCTCTCTGATGTTTATTATTTTCTTCCTTCTACTCACTCTGGGCTTTTATTGTTGTTCTCTCTATCAATTTTTTAGTTGGAAATTTAGAAAGTATATTAGAGATTTTCTTTGTTTCATGAGGTAGGCCTGGAGTGCTATGTACTTCCCTCTCAGGACTGCATTGGCTGTTTTGCATAGATTTTAGTTTTTTGTGTGTTCATTTTCATTTGGTTCCAGAAAGTTTTAATTCCTTACTTGATATCAGTGGTAACCCATCCATTGTTTAATAACATGCTATTTTGCCTCCATGTGTTTGAATGTTTTTAGTGTTTTTATTTAATTGATTTCCAGTTTCATGTCTTATAATCAAAGAATATGCTGAATGTGATTTTAATTCTTTTTGAATGTAGAGAATTAGTTTGTGTATTAAAATGTGGTCTCTCTTTGAGTCTGTCCCATGCATACTTTCAAAAAAAAATTATATGCTGCAGCTTTGGGGTAGAATGTTCTGTAAATGTCAATTAAATCCATCTGATCTACTGTGTCATTTAGGGTAACAGTTTCCTTGTTGATTTTTTTTGTCTGGAAGATCTATCAGTGAAGTCAGTGGGGGTGTTAATGTCCCCTACTATGAATGTATTGCAGTTGATCTCTTGCTTAAAGTCCTATAAGAGTTTCTTTTAATATATTTAGTTGATCCTATATTGGGTGCATATATGTTTACTAAAAGGATCGATCCTCTTGTTGGATCAATCCTTTTAGTATTACATAGTGACTGTCATTGTCAATGGACTTTCCATTTTAATGCCTCCCTCCAAGTGTACATGTTGGCCTGACAACCCTGTGAACCTTCTCCCAGTCTCATGCATCATCATGATTAGTAGGAATGTTTTTCTCAAAAGACAATGGAGCTCATGTTACCAAGTCTATTGCTTTTCTCTTTGCTGCTCTGGTGACCACATCCCCATGGCTTCTACAGGTCAGCAGCTGGGGCCTCCCTGGACTGCAAAATACACCAGGAGCAAGACCACTTGTAAAGGTGATCTATCTCTTCACTGTTCTGGGACCTGGAAGTGATCTCCTGTTTCCATTTCAATGGTGCTTCACTGAACATCCCACATGTCCTAACATCCTGACCCCTTCCACCCCAGGAAAAGCCTCTGTGTTCTCATCTTAGAATGGAATGTTTTGTCAGAAATCCCAGGGGTGACACTGTTAATATAGGGAGGTTCTGTCCACTGTCTGCTAAGAAAGTGACCTAAGACACTAATGTCTTTCATCATTCCTCCAATTTTATGTTTCCTGCTAAAAACCTTTTCTCTCCTGCCATCACTCATGTCCTACCTCCTGCACCAATCATTGAGGGCCTGGGGGTCTAGTCTGAAATGCAGCTCTCATCCCTACCAGTTCATAAGCTGCTTCTGATGGCATGTCCCTCCTTTTTCCCACCCTAGGAGGAGACATCATCAAACCCAGGTAGAAATAAGACCTGTATGGTGGAGCCATCCACAGCTTTGTCAACGACTACAAGCTTAGCAGGTGCACCCCCTGTACTCATTACACCAGTGCCCATAAACATGTTCCCTGACTGGGAGGTGGATGGCTCCAGCCCCTCCTGCATGCCCAGTTTGTGCAATGTGACATTTAAAAAGCTGGTGGTGTTAAAGGAGCTTGAGAATGAGCAATGTTCCGTGGTGATTGCCATAAAGATACAGGGCTCCAAGTGCATCCTGCGCTCCCACGAGATTCTTCTGCCTCCCAGTGGAAAAGTGGAGGCCGACCTGACACTGACTTTCTCACTACAGTACCCTCACTTTCTGAACAAAGAAGGCAATAAGCTTGAGATAATGTTACAGCAGCAGAAGCACTTTAAGAACCGAACCATCACTGGCTATAAGATTCTTGCCTACAAGACACTGGCTCTGGGCACCATCTACATGGGTGAAGTGATGCAGCAACCCCTCGAGGGTGGCCAGGTGCTGAGCCTCTGCAGCAGCCTCAATGAGGCCTCTACCAAGGTGGCTGAGATCTGGATCTTGTCCCTGTCCTCCCAGCCCATTGACATTGAGAACAGCACCATGCAGGCCAAGTCCATTGATAAATACTTTGAGAAGTATAAAAGCTTCTCCCATGAGCTGGGGGCCAGTGACAATGCCACAGATGGGCAGAACTTAGAGGATGATTTGGACATGGGGAAGCCCAAGAGGCAGCAACATTCAATTGTAACAACTACTTCCAAGACCAGACAACAAAATTTTAAGCAAAAAATCATGGCGCTGCTGCACAGGTTCATTGCTTCAAAGGAGGTCCTGGACTCGGAGCAGGGCCCCATGGAGCATGTCCCAGAGGTGCAGGCTGACCTGGACTCAGAGGTCCTGGACTCAGAGCAGGACACTGCAGAGCATGTCCCAAAGGAGAAGAAGTACTTGGACCTTCTGTATGAAATGCTGGAGAACCCCAGTGACACGGAGGATGATGACCCCATTCCCAGCACCCCTGAGCCAAAGCTCAGGCCATACATCAAAGACCTGCCACACTTCAGCTCACAACCAGAGATTGGGAGCACCCATACTGCCTGGAGCCAGAAAACACCACTGACTCCCGCCAAATTGCCTGAGATGTGGGCCTGGAGAAGGAAACAACCAAGTGACAGTATCTCCGACTTAGCCACCCCCATGCCAACACCTAGGGAGCTGTTGGCACAGCCCAAGGACAGTCTGGAAGTAGAGACTTCCACCCAGGACATGTTCCCTGAGAAGGTGCCACCCAGCAGGTACATCAACAAGCCTGAGGCTCTCAACACCCTCATCACCAGGACTGAGGGGGAGCAGGCTGGGTTTAGGGGTTGGAGCAGGTCCTTGAAGAAGTGGCAGCAGGCATGGCCACATAACGAGCTGCCCAACAGCTTGGAGAAGGAGGGCTGCCTGGACATGCAGAGCCAGCTGCAGATCCCCAGGAACACTGTGTTTGACCATCTAAACCACATCCTCAGCTCCCAAGACACACAGCCTGTGCACATCATCCTTATCAACACCTCCGACTGGCAGGGGCAGTTCCTGTCGGACATCCTACAGCAGCACATGCTGCCCGTGGTGTGCACCCGCTCTGATGCTGATCTCCGAGAAGCCTTCAGCTCTATCATCTCATGGATAGAAAGATCCTACAGCTGCAATCCCCAGCCCATGACGCCAGTGAAGATCGTGGTGGTCGGGGCACAGCACTACCTCAGTGCCGTGCTGCGGCTCTATGTGGAGCAGCTGTCCCACAAGATTCCCGACTGGCTAGGCTACATGTGCTTCGTGGTTATCCTGCTGGGTTTGCACCCCATGGCCACGTACCTGGGCTCTGTGGATTACCACTATAAAATCTTCTTCCAGGACCTGGCCTGGCGCAACCTGTTCAACAGAATGGAGCCCCAAAGCACCAGGCAGGACACACTGGACATCATGTGGAGAATCACACAGTACATTGTGGGGGCCAACTGTGTCCACCAGCTGCCCATTGCGAAGGCCGTGCTCACCTACAAACATAAGAGCCTCAGCGAGGAGTCCTTGCAGAAGTTCATTCCCTTCCTGGGCGAGGTGAAGGTTGGAATAGTGGAACTCTCCTCGGGCATGTCGGGAGACTCTCATGATGTGGCCCCTTCAGGCTCCAGCAAGCTTTTGTCCACCCTGCCATCCACCTCTCTGGCCACCAAAGAGGCCTCACCCACCCCACCTTTCTCCCCATCAGTGAGTGAGGGCCTGTCCTCCCTTAGCCAGGACATCAGCACCGAGATAATGGGGCTGCATGTGGATTGCTGGATGGCAGCCCAGCCCACAGACAGGGGGAGAGACCTGCCTACTACCAACAACACGCTCAAATACTTCACCCAGTCTCTCCAGGTCAGCAGTCTGCCCATCAGTGGTGAGGCCACAGCCACGCCCACCATGTCCATGACCATGGTCCCCAAGGAAAACAAAAAAGTGATGTTTCTTCCCCAAAAAAACAAAGACAAGGAGGTGGAGCCCAAAAATCAGTCCATCAAGGGCATCAGCCACCTGGTCTGCAGGGCAGAACAGCAGCAGGACATGCAGAGGGTCATCATTGATGGAGTGCAGTGGAACGATGTACAGTTTCTCCAGCTGGAAGCCCAGTGGTCCTCCCACATCACACACTTCCCCATCTGTGTCTTTAGAAACTCCAGGTCCACCTTCTAGCCCTGCCCATTGCCTTGACATGGCTGAGCCCAGGAGGGCCCAGCTGCTTTTCTCTTAACACTTTGGATTACTACAGAGACAGACCCAGGAAACACAAAAGAAACCGTCTTAAGTGCAAATGTGCTCATAACCTGGAAAGTAACAGTCTTGCCCCTGCTGGGAGCCCCCAGCTGCTCAGCTTACTCCCCAGAACTGTCTGGCAGGTGAAAGGTCAGGCCAGCAGTGGGGAGCTGGAGAATCACAGAAGGTGTGTTTTGGCCTTAGCCCCATGAACCGTCCAGGGGGAAGTGTTCTTTCCTTCATGACCTGCCCTCCTGGAAGCCAGGATGCTGCTTCTGCAAGGAGCCAACTCTGGCCTGTGCCCAGACTCAGAGCTGTGCAGCCGCTGGGGGCACCCTGAGCCCAGCACAGAGGCCGGTCAGCCCAGCCCTGGGCTTCAGCTGCCAACCAGCGAAGTGGCCCCAGCACCACCCACTTGTGGTTCCCAATAAACTCCAGTCTCATAGGAAGAACAAAACAAAACCTCAAAAACCTGTATTTTCTTAATACTATTTTTCTTATACTATTGAGTTAACATAAAATGTATTATAAATAAATTAAATTAAATGCTATTACAATAAATTTAATTTAAATAAAATGGAATTTAGCTGTATGATCTTTCAAAGTATACATTCCAGCAGCATTAAGTGCATTCACAAGTTTTCACAACCACCAGTCATCACAGCCACTCTCTAGATCCAGAACATTGTCATCCAGACAAACCCAGGGCCTGGTCTCAGTCACTGCTCATCCTCCCCACTCAGCCCCTGACAATCCCTGGTCTTGTTCTGTCTCCATGGATTGACCCATTGTGGATTTTTTATGGAATTAAAATAATAGCATATATGGCCTTTTTGAGAGGAGGGAGTAAGTCTTTGTCATTTATTTAGTCAACAAACAACTATCTTCTATGTTCTGGGCAATGTCCTTGGCACTGGGAATGGAGGTAAACCCCAGCCCTCAAGGAGCTCACAGTGTAGTGATGGGAAAAGACACATAAATTAGTAGTTAAACAGAGAAACACAATGGGAAGTGTGCAAAGGGGACCACTCTGGGTGGCGAGGAGCAGAGGAACTCATTCTGTGGTTGATGTCCATAGGAAAGAGAAACCTGGCTGATGATCCTCACCTGAGGATATTTTTACATTTATCTTTAGATACAGTGGAAGAAAGAGAGGGAGGAAGAGAGAGAGAAACATCAATGTGATAAAAACACATCAACTGATTGCCACCTGCACGACCCGAACTGGGGCTGGGGCCGAACCTCCACCGAGGTACGTGCCCTTGGCCAGAATTGAACCCAAGACTCTTTGGTCCACAGGCCGACACTCTCACCGTTGAGCCAGAACCTGATGAGCACTTTTTGTGAAGAACACACAAGGCGATGGTTCTCAGCATGTGGCTGGTGAATTTCCTCCATCTGAATAATTTGCAGCACATGTCAAAACACAGGTTCCCAGCATTTTCTGCAAAGATGACGATTCAGTGGGTTGGGGTTTGGGACCTGGGAACTTGCATATGAAAGTACTGCAGGTAATTCTACTGCAACATAAAAATTGAGAACCTGTGAGATACGGTTTGCTCCTTCATCGGGATGAAGAATGACCTGTGCGTCTGAAATGCTCATTAGTGTTGGTGTTTAATGAGAGGCCGGCAGTGAAGAGGAGGGGAGCTGGCATTTGCTGAGCTCTGCTGTGGTCTATATATAAGATAAATTACTTCTCACACCAACCCTATGAGGGAGATATGATTATTATGCCCATTTCACAGAAGAAGAAACTAAATTAGAGTTTAAATAGTTTGTTCAATAATACAGAGCTCACAAATTGCAGAACTGACATCTGAACCCAGATTCATTTAACACTGAAGAATGCCCAGTTTATTTAATTTTTAATCCTCACCAGAGGATATTTATTTATTTATTTATTTATTTATTTATTTATTTATTCATTTTAGATAGAGTGGGTGGGAGGGAGGGAGAGAGAGAGTGTGAGTGAAAGAGAGAGAGAAACATCCAAGTAAGACTCATCAAAGGTTGCCTCCCACATGATCCTGACCCAGGCTGGGTGTGGAACCCACAACCGAAGTACATGCCCTTGACTGGGACTCTGGTCCACAGGCTGATGCTCTAACTGCTGAGCCAAACCAGCCAGGGCAAAGCCTGTCCACTTTTCATAACATCATGTTGTACTTTTAGTTCTTTGCCAGATCTTGCCAGGTAAAGAGAAAGAACAGCACATACACAGCCTGCACGGCCTGGGTACGTTCCCACTCACCACATTCAGGGTTGACAAGCAGATCTCAGGCACCAGCAGCAGAGGGGCCATGTTAGATCAAGAGAAAGAAAGTCAGTGTACATTTTTGGTGATTCCAGCAGACCACAGAGTCCAAAGATGGGTTTGGATCAAATCACCCACAGCACTGACCCTGGACACAGCACCCAGCTGAGATTTCACTGCTGAGCCTAACAGAGGTTGTAGGAGTGCTATATTCTCTCCAACCCAATCTCAGAATATGTGCTTTCACCCACTTTTCATATAATACTGGCATGGTTTAGAGGTGTTTGAAAAAAACAAACACATATGCAAATCTAGATTTAAGCTCTCCTTACAAGAAAAATACATTTGTTTACAGAGCACTGATTCACCCCCTTCAAATACACAGCTTCTAAAAAGCACAGTTAGAAAAGCAGGTGCCACAGACAATAAATATATTCAGGCCCTGTGCCTGTGTGTCTGGGTGGACCTGAAACCTACTGATACTTCAAAATCAAGGACCTGTGCAAGTGAGAACTCTGGTGCCATCTGCATGAAGTCTTGGTCCTGATGGCAGTATCTGGTTGTCCTGGAGTCTAAGCAGGACATCTGGGTTATGTCTGTGGCCAGCCATCTGGCACGTGGGAAGAGGAGGTAAAGCCCACAACCAACTATCCCAGTCTTCACGCTTGACCTGCAAGAAGCTCAGGAAGGTGAGGAGTTAAGTATCTGGGAGCTGTGCAGTCCAAATGGCCAGGGCACAAATACACTTGGAACAAAATGATACACTGTGTAAAATCAAGTCAACCAGCTTGTAGATCCTTGGCTGACTCTGGTTAGGACCCCAAACACTGACAAAGGAAACCTCAAATATGCGGAGAGACAATCATCAGAATGTGTGTGTACCCTGGTTCATGCCCACACACAGGCCCTGAGAGAGGCTGGCCACACTGCCTGGGTTTAGCCCATCTGCATTGGCTCTTTTTGTCTCCATTTCTTTAATTGTGGTAAATACACTTCAAATTGCCATTCTTAACTATGTTAACCTGTAAGGTTCTTGGTATGAAGTGCATTATTGTGGTGCAACCATTCCCATCATCCATCTCTAAAGCTCATCGTGTAAACTGAAACTCTATCCATTGAACAGTAACTCCTCCTTCCCCTGCTCCTCCCAGGCCCTGGGAATCACGACTCTACATTCTGTCTCTAGAATTTTATTAATCTAGGCAACCCATGAACTTGGAATCACATGTTTTTGGTGCCTACCTATACTTACTACCCCTCAGTCATCTAAACTGAGTTTAGACAGAGGAAGGTGCTGGCCCATTCACAGTGCCATCCTCACTCCCTGGAGAGGGAAGGTGCCCGATGGTGCTCTCCTCCCCCAACTCCAGGGCTGTGCTTGAGGATGGAAAGAGTGGACACCTCTGAAGCCACCAGCTCCTGCTGCTCCCACCCCTCCTGGCTGTCTCCATAGACCACTGGGAGGCCTGTCAGGCTCACCTCCCATAGAGTGGCTCTTCATCTCAAGACAGGGCCACCCAGAGGGTGTCAGACACATGCTGGGATTAGGATGCACCTGTGCTCTTTGTCCTTCTAGACTAGAGGGTGAGACCACAGCAGAGGCCAGAACACCACCCTCTGTTCTGTGTTCCAGTCCTGAGCTGTGTCTAGAATGAGAGTAACAGGAACCAGTAGAGTCATTTCTTCCTCACTGGCATCCTCTGCACTTGCTTTGTTTTCTCCCCACATAGTCTGAGTACTTCTTAGTGCTTGGCCTCTCATTCAGCCCTGGGGTCAGAGAGATGAATGACACTCTGAACTAGTAAGCTTCAGGCTGCTGGGGTAGAAAAAAAAAAACAAAAACAAACATAACAAATTTCATGAGGCAAATAAGAGAGTGAAGGTAGACTTAGGTCTGATGAGTGTCCCCTATGGATCTGTGTGGAGTTTCCCTTGGAGTCTGTGCACTGCCAGAGAACACCTGGAGCACAGGCTGTGTGTGTTCTCAGGTGAACCAGCACCTTCTCACCAGCAGCACCAAGTCCCTACAGCTCTGCATTACTGGGCAATGGCTTATACCCCTCTGTCCCGTGTCATTCATCCTCCATCACCTGGAATGCTCAGTAATATTTGGCTGTGCCTGGCATGATAGTGGGCATCTTCAACTGGGTGATGGGTCCTGGGTCAGATGCTGGTGTTTCCTGCATTGGGCAGTAGGTAAGAAAAGGGGTAAAAAGAGGTGCTCAGCCCTCCAGACTGGCCCCTTCTGGAAATTCCCAGGCTACCACTCATACCAATGACTGCTTGATGTGACTGTTCTCCAGAGGGTCTTTCTCAGGGCTCAGACTTGGCCCAGTGGTGACATTTTCATGACCTCTCTCTGTGGCATAACCTTAGTACACATCATGGTAGATATTTTTGGGGAGAGGTAAAGGAGGAAGTCTCTGCTTTCATTATCTGAGGTGGAAATTGAGGCCCAGAGGAGACACTTGAACCCTGAAAACCTCACTCTCACTGGACAGCAGAGGGCAGGACCCTGGGGATGACACCCTATGACATAATGCCCCTGCCTTGGGTGGCCAGGGCAGTATGTCTTCTTCCCTGGGCTCAACTGTCCTTTTTCTGCACCAACATCACTAACTCCCAGCAGCCCAGTTTCATGCAGCTCATGGGAAAGATCAGGCTGAACCCCCTGCCCAGTGGC